TCCTTGCGTTTGTTCTCGGTGGCCTGCAGCATCTTTTCCTTCCACAGGTTGAAGAAGTACGATGGGTCAGTGTAGAACTTCAGACCAGCCTTCTTGTCGTCCCTGCAGACACAACAACAAAAACTCTGAGTTTAAATTACCTGCAAGTAATTTAAACTCTTCTGCCTACAACCTGCAGGACATTGTGGGCGGAGTTTAAACTAACCTGTAGGCTGTCAGGATGTTGAGGGGTGGTGGCTTGTCACAGCGTTGGTACATCTCCAGCGCTGGATTAGGGATGGAGCTCCGTGACACCACCTGCTGGTCCTGAATGGTACTGCTTCTAAAAGCTTTCCGCATATTGATGTCCTGCAGCGAGACTGGAAGCACACGGAAGAGATACAGACTCTATAAACAGGTGGAGGCGCTGGATGGTCACATGATCTGAGGGCAGTGATTCTCACCAACCTTCCTCCACGGTGGAATCCAGCTGAGTGACCTTCACAGCCAGCAGGTCCACTCTCTCCTGCAGGCTGTTCATTCTCAGGTAGAAGCTGTTAGCCTCCATGAACAGCTCGCCAAAAATGTCCTCCGCATGGCGACCTGCATGCCATCATCAGGAAGTAAGACATGTTATTACTACGCTGTGGACCGAGTGAGCTCACACAGACTTCCATCCACAGAAAACGACCCTAAAGGTCAACTCTAACGAGCGACCAGGAGCTGTTCCTGCACCCATGCTCCCGTTAAGCAGAGCCACTCATAGCGATTACGGCTTTGATTTTAATCTGATTTTATGAAGTTGAGCTCAGTTTTCCGGGAACACAAACATTCACCACGAGCTTCTGTCAGTGACAGGATGAATGTGTACACCTGCACACAGGTAACGCTCACACACAACTGACAGTCAAGCTTTTGAGAGGAAGTGTTTGTGTGTGTTTGGACTCCCACACCTGGGCTGTAGGCGGAGCTTCACTCCACGTGTTTTTAGCATGTGATGAGAGCGATTCCTGCTTCAGTATGACCACAAAAATAAACTTCCTGTTTTATTCAGTCAGACTGAGACCAGAGGAGTCCTCTCCTACTGGGTCTCAGAGATCTACTGCCATCTTTATTTACAGTCTGTGATACTGGGTTCTCTGTTTTTACCTGGCTGCACTAAGCTGATTGGTTAGCTGTGGCTTAGGCTACTAACAGAAGCAAAATGAACAGAAAAGGTTTGAGCATCGAGGGTGTCTCACTGCAGGAATGATCTCATCACATGATTTGCATTGAATAAACTTTATTAAACTGTAAATGCAGAGTGCATGGAGGTTAGCTGAAGCATCGGAAACCTTCAGCTCGTCCCCTCATCGAGAACCAGAGTTACAACGATAACCGAAACTTACTGAGTCCTCCCAGCTGTTTGATGACCGCAGCCAGCGTGCTGTTGGTGACGCACTCCAGCTCACTGGCGACCCCATCAGGCAGAGAGCCGCGGCACAGGTACCGAGGCTCGATGATTCGCTTCACCAGCGGCATGGCTCACCTGGAGACAGAGAGACGGATCACTTCCTATTTCTCTCTCATTTAAACGCTGATACTCCTTTGAAAAACTAGTTCATGCATTTATTACTTCCAGGCTGGACGACTGTAATTCATTATTATCTGGAAGTCCTAAAAACTCCCTGAAAAGCCTTCAGTTAATCCAAAACGCTGCAGCAAGAGTCCTGACAGGGACTAGAAAGAGAGAGCAGATTTCTCCTGTTTTGGCTTCTCTTCATTGGCTTAAATAATCAGGCTCCATCTTATCTTAATGACCTTGTAGTACCATATCACCCTATTAGAGCACTTCGCTCTCGCTCTGCAGGCCTACTTGTTGTTCCTAGAGTATTTAAAAGTAGAATGGGAGGCAGAGCCTTCAGTTTTCAGGCCCCTCTTCTGTGGAACCAGCTTCCAGTTTGGATTCAGGAGACAGACACTATCTCTACTTTCAAGATTAGGCTTCAAACTTTCCTTTTTGCTAAAGCATATAGTTAGGGCTGGACCAGGTGACCCTGAATCCTCCCTTAGTTATGCTGCAATAGACGTAGGCTGCCGGGGGATTCCCATGATGCACTGGGTGTTTCTTCTTCACTCACTATGTGTTAACAGACCTCTCTGCATTGAATCATACTTGTTATTAACCTCTGTCTCTCTTCCACAGCATGTCTTTATCCTGTCTTCCTTCTCTCACCCCAACTGGTCGCATGTTTACATGTTGACACAGTTTCTTCCTCCAGGTCGTCAGACTCCTGAACACTCAGTGACTGGAATGACACACACACACCTTCGCACATGTTACTACCAAGCACTTATCTGCAGTATCTCACACACACGCATCTATAGACACCAAGTTACTTTTTGCACAACGATCAGTATTTTGCACATTTCTTGTCTTGTATCTGTCTCGTCTCGTTTTGTTGCACTTTAAGTCCTGTGTTCATCAGTTATATGTCATATGTAACACCAGGGTGTCGGAGGAACACTGTCTCGTTTCACTCTGCACTGTACCACTGCACATGGTTGGAATGACAATAAAAGCCACTTGACTTGACTTTAACAGTTCCTCTTAGGATTCAACATCATTTAAGATAAATCACAACAGCACAGCCTCAAAAACCGTTTGATGCTTCCAACCAAAACAACACAAAACACATATGAGGTACACATAAGGTAACAAACACAGGGCGCCGTACGATTGTGGGGTTTTACTATGAGTCTTTACAGTATGAAGCAGCTTGAGGTGACTATTGTTAGGATTTAATGCTCTATAAATAAAATGAATTCAATCAACTTCAGACTCTGCTGATAAATACTGATCAAAACTATGAGATCAGATCAAATCAGTGAGTTCCTACTAAAGCTGGGCAACCACTGCGATTTTTTCAGTCACGTTATTCAGCTCCTGCTCAAACTGTACGATTGACTCGCAGAGGTTAGAAGTTCATAGGTCACGATGCAGGTCTCACACTATACGGCCCGATGCTCTGATGTGACCTGAGTGCTCACACTGTGCGTCCATAACATGAAGGTAATCTGTCGCTCGCTCCCCCTCTCTGTCTCTCACTCACACAGACACACCACCACCATCAGCTTTGCCAAATTGCTAATGAAAAACATGATCAGGCAGCTGTGATTGAGCAGCAACGTAAATCCAACTATTTTCACGGTTGTTGTGGTCGTGATGATTTTGTGAGGCCACATGGAAAAGGCTCGGATGAGCGAAAGTTCTACAAGTGCCTCCATCGCTTGTGTCCAGATCACACGCTGCACTGCTGTGCTTCTCCGTCTTTTTCACCGACGTTTATGTGTTTGCGCATGTGCAGTGTGAGAAGCTGCAGTGACACCCTCACGACGGTCGTGAGGTGATGATTGGGAGCTGGTCATGAGGTGTTAATCGCGTCTCGTTAACCCACGTATACTACACGACGCACGATGAAGGCCAAAATCGGGCCGATCACCAAAACGGTCGCACGACTCAAAAATCGGCTCAAAATGGGCCAAAAATCGCAGAGTGTGAGCCCAGCTAGTACAGCAGCTCCTCTCATGTACAACAACAGTTGATTACAGTCATGCACCATGACATCACTGCCTGACCTCTGACCCCCAGCTGTGCTGAGTTCTCACCGGGAAACTGCTCAGATTACACCTTTATCACCCTCATCATCATCCTCAGTAACCGACAGTGATTGATTGGCTGTTGGTCCTCAGTGGTGCAGAGGAATCTATGTGTGTGTGTGTGTGAATGCTATCTCAGAGGCAGCGCCATGGAAACAGCACATTATGCTCTGCTGCCCACAGACAGCACCATGGTTACTGTTGCTAGGAGACAGTGGGAGGTCGTGCATCCCTTCACACAGCCATGAATAGAATGTAATCAGATTACTGTAACCACCATCTGCTGTTTCTAAAGCTGTACGATAGATACCTGTTAATCAGTGACAGTCAATCAGAGTCCTTCCTGGATTGTCTGTTACTACAGACTGATGTCATTTAACTGCTCCAACAGCACAAACACAGTCCAGAGGTCCAGTTCAGGTGAAGCTATCTGTCAGTCAGAGAGGCCACGCCCCTAATGATGCAAACTTGAAGCTTTAATTTTAACAGTTGAGTTATAAAAACATCCTCGTGTGTGTGTGTGTGTGTGTGTGTGTGTGTGTGTGTGTGTGTGTGTGTGTGTGTGTGTGTGTGTGTGTGTGCGCGGTTCCTCCAGCCTCGAGTCTGGACTACACTTCCCAGGAGTCCACTCAGGTGAGAGTGATGTCAATTTCATCATCAGCTGATCTACTCCAGAACTCCTGTCGGAGAACCACGTGACCCACAGAACCCCCTGCTGTCTGCAGATATCTCAAGACTTATGACGTCATGTCTCACAGGTGCACTTGCAGCAACGCGCACACTTGCAGAAATGAGTGCGTGACCAAATGCAGTGTGTGTGTGCTGATCAATAGCCGATGACGTCAGGGTCGGATATAATCACCATCATCTTCCTCAAAAACAGACGGTGTTTGATTGGCTCCTATCGTCAGTAGCGTGGATAGTGTGTTTGTGTGTGCGTGTCAGAGAGACCCTCACCCACGCGGATCGATCATAGTAACGCTTTCGAACCGATAGGACGGATCGATCAGACTCACCGGGCTCTGGCGGTTCCACTCCGGTTCGTTCCACTGAAGCTGCCTCGTCACAGAGCAGCGCGCGGCGGACTCCTCATCCTCCTCCGACCGGGATGAAGGCTGGAGAGGCGGGGGCGGGGCTGGACCCGGCTTCTGTCCGCAGTCACGGAGCTGCAGCGCCGCCTGCTGACTGCACGCTGTGACACGTTTACCACAAATCCGCGTGAACGTGCACACCTGCGCACGGAGGTAACGAGCTTGTGTGTGTGTGTTTGATTTTTGCTGCAGACTCACACTGAAGCGCTGGACTGTGATTAGCGGTCAGACTGAGGCTGATCATGTGACAGCCTCATCTCGGCCCCTCCCACACAGCCTTAATTGGTCAATTCATTCTGACCAGCAGTCGGTTTAGGGAGACGTGTGTCCGAACTCTGAGTGCTCTTTGACTCCACAGGAAGCATACCCACCCACACCCGCCTACCATCATCCAGCAGGTATGCAGCTGCGCTGTGTGAGCTCATGCGCCTGTGAGTCTCCATCAGAGGAGCCGTAGATGATCGCATCGCTTTGTCCTCCACCTTTGGCGGCTCTCTGAGCTGAACTCTCCCCTCCTTCAGCTCAGAGACCCTCAGCCTCTGTGAGAGCAGCTTTCTGCTCCCGTCATCACACTACTCCACCCCATTGAGACGACTCCAGCTGGAGACCCACGCTCCACAGGATTCAAGCCTCAAATCATTTCCTGCGTGTCCTCTACGACTTCCTGTCCAGTGCCTGGACAGAGAACGGCCAACATTCAAAAAACGACACTTTTGTTTGCTCCTAAAAAACTTTATTGAAACATGTGACTCAATCAAATTCACACTGAGTGGTTATCAAAACTGAGACTTTATATAAAACATCATCAGGGTTTTATGGGCTCTTCCTCTCCTCGTGGTCACACACAGGTGTCTAACGCTAACCTCCACTCCTCGCTCACCAAACAGAACGGTGTGAGCACTCGATGGGGCGGAGTCTCTATAGACCAGACTTAATGAGGATCGATATTTCAGTCGTCCATCAGAGTCTCTCACATTCAAAGCCAGAACTGGTCTCAGAGGGGCGGGGCATGTCGATGTAGAACACCTCCTTGTTGACGGGTGGTGGTGTGGATGGCGGACTCACTGCCCCCGAGTCCTGGGTCATGGCCTCGTGGGGATGGTTCACTAACGAGTACTTCTTTTCAGGCCGGTTCAGATTAACTTTGAATCTGGCCCCGCCTCCTGTGGCAAGACGACCGTCAACCTTGGGTTTGAAACGCTTCAGCTTGACGGTGTCTTTGGCGTCACGCGTGCACGGCAGCAGGACCGCCACGTCTTTGCGGAATTTGGAGCTGAGACCAAAGTAGATGAGCGGGTTGTAGAAACTGGCAGATTTGGCAAAGAGGCGGGTGAAGATGCTGGTGAGGTTGGGCACGTGGAAACCCCAGGCGGACCACATGGACACCACGGCGTACGGCGACCAGGCCAGGATAAAGGCTGTGCAGATCACTATGGAAACCTGCAGAGACAGAGAAAGTGATCGAACTTCCCGAATGGCACTCTGGTGGGCAGGAGATGACAGCGACAAACACTCACGACGGTCACGTCTCTCTCGATCTTCCGCTGGCGGTCGGTCAGGTCTCCCTCGGCCGACAGCGAGTTGCCTCGCTTCACCGTGTTGATGATGGACACGTAGCAGAACAGCATGACGAGCACGGGGATGAAGAAGCAGCACACAAAGATGGAGACGATGTAGGACTTGTAGACGCTCGAGTAGTTTGCCTTGGCCCAGTCAATCTCACAGGTTCCATAGCCGCGATCTGCACAGACGACAGACACTGTCACTAAAGGAAGGCTTTCCACTGCTCACTTCCTGTTCTATAAGGGCGCAGCGGACCCCTGACAGACCAATCAGCACGCGGCAGCAGGACACTGGTGTTTTATGGTCCCTGCTTTATCTGAGCCTCATTCACTCTAACGCCCTGGAGAGACCTGCAGCCACTTCCTGTACTGTGAGGGGGTCAGGGGTCAGGGTATTCTTGCCTGTGTAGCTGCCCCAGCCGAGCAGTGGCGCCCCGGACCAGAATCCAGCTGCGATCCAGATGAGCGACAGACACACGAACACACTGGTCCTGGTGATGTAATGCGCTGAAACACACACACTCACTCAGGTAACATGGTAATAACATGTTAACACTATGATGGTGAACACCTGATGGGCGGACCTCTGACCTCGGCTTGGGTGGCATCCTTTGATGTAGCGTGTGATGCTGATCACGGTCAGCGTGTAGATGCTGCTCAGACCGAACACCAGCGTGAAGAACCCGTCCACCTGCGTGAGAACACGTCACAGGTGAGCCCGTCACGTCCCACCACAGGCTGAGCCTGAGCTGGGACGTCAGTACCTGGCAGGTCCAGATGGAGGAGATGAGGTAGCCGCTGTCCTGGAAGACGTTGAAGATCTCGATGATTCCTCTGGAGTATCCGAACACGGAGATGCTGGCGTCTGAGACGGCGAGGTTATAGGTCAGGTAGTCGGTGGGCAGCAGCGAGGCTCTCTGCCTGTAGAGGACGAAGAGGACGATGCTGTTCCCGAACCAGGACATCCATCCTGGAAACACACAGGTGCATACAGGTACTTCAGTGTGTACAGTAAGTACACAGTGTACACACAGTACTACACAGGAGCAGCTGAGGGTAATCCAGCAGGTCACTACTAAGAACACTTAAAGTGCAGCTGATGTCCAGCAGACAGGTGAGAGCGACACCCGCTCTGTTACCCACAGCCAGAGAAGCTCATCAAAGCTGCTGCAGCTGAGAGCGCTGCTGTGCCCACAGCATGATCAGAGTATTGATCGCTGATCACTGACAGACTGAAGCCAAATAACATCACACAGATGCAGGACACAACGATGACACAGCACACGTGTGAGTCTGTGTGTGTGTATCTGTGTGTGAGTGTGTGTGTCTGTGTGTGTCTGTGTGTGTCTGTGAGTCTGTGTGTGTCTGTGTATGTGTGTGTTGTGGTGTGTGTGTATGTGTTGTGTGTGGTGTGTTTGTGTGTGTGTGTGTGTGTGTCTGTGAGTCTGTGTGTGTCTGTGATGTGTGGTGTGTGTGTGTGTGTGTGTGTGTGTGTGTGTTGTGTGTGAGTGAGTGTGTGTGTGTATCTGTGTGTGTGTGTCTGTGGTCTGTGTGTGTGTGTGTGTGTGTGTGTCTGTGTGTGGTGTGTGTGTGGTCTGTGTGTGTCTGTGTGTGTAGGTGTGTGTGTGTGTGTGTGTGTGTGTGTGTATCTGTGTGTGTGTGTGTGTGGTCTGTGTGTGTGTGTGCTGTGTGTGTGTGTGTGTGTGTGTGTGTGTGTGTTTCTGTGTGTGTGTGTCTGTGTGTGTGTGAGTGTGTGTGTGTGTGTGTGTCTGTGTGTGTGTGTGTGTGTGTGTGTGTGTGTGTATGTGTGTGTCTGTGTGTGTGAGTGTGTATCTGTGTGTCTTGTGTGTGTGTCTGTGTGTGTTGTCTGTGTGTGTCTGTGTGTGTCTGTGTGAGTGTGTGTCTGTGTGCGTGTGGTCTGTGTGTGTGGTCTGTGTGTGTGTGTGTCTGTGAGTTGTGTGGTGGTGTGGTCTGTGTGTGTGTGTGTGTGTGTGTGTGCTGTGTGTGTCTGTGTGTCTTGTGTGAGTCTGTGTGTGTGTGTGTCTGTGTTGTTTGTGTGTGTGTGTGGTGTGTTGTGTGTGTGTGGGCTGTGTGTGTGTGTGTGTGTGTGTGTGTGTGTGTGTGTGTCGTGTGTGTGTCTGTGTGTGTGTGTGTGTGTGTGTGTGTCTGTGTGTGTGTGTCTGTGTGTGTGTGTGTGTCTGTGTGTGTGTGCGAGTCTGTGTGTGTTGTGGTCGTGTGTGTTGTGTGTGTCTGTGTGTGTGTGTGTGTGTGTCGTGTGTGTGTGTGTGTGTGTGTTGTGTGTGTGTGTGTCTGTGTGTGGTCTGTGTGTGTGTGTGTGTGTGTGTGTGTGTGTGTGTGTGTGTGTCTGTGTGTCTGTGTGTCGTGTGTGCTGTGTGTGAGTCTGTGTGTGATGTGTGTGTGTGTGTGTGTGTGTGTCTGTGAGTGTGTGTGTGAGTCTGTGTGTCCGTGTGTGTCTGTGTGTATCTGTGTGTGTGTCTGTTTGTTTTTGTCTGTGTGTCTGATTGTGTATGTGTGCATGCGCGCTCACCCAGCAGCAGTAGGTAGACTCCTATGATGGTCTCCCCCTGGTCAGTCAGGGGGGGATCTCGCCCCCCTCCCAGGATGAAGCTGTGGTTCCTCCAGGGGGGGCTGCCGGCTGCAGCGCCGCTGAGCGACATGTTGCGTGTGGCGTGTAAATGGCGTGTGTTCTGCAAGTACCGCCGGACTCTGCAGCTAATCTGAGGTGAGATTACAGGCTGATCCTGGTTCAGCACTAGTGACTCCAAAGCAGCACCCAGCAGGCCCCAGCTCACTGATTGGCTGAAGGAGTGATGATGTAATAAACTCATTAAAGGATTCAGACTGATCTCTGCTGATGTATTGATCTGACTTCAGTCTGGAAAGTAACTCAGTACGTTTAGTGTACTGTGAAGTACTCCTTTGAGGTACTTTCACTTTAGTACTGAGAAATCTGGACGCTGCATGAAAACAGACATTTCATCACGGGTGACGGGGGCGGAGCCATGAACAGTCTGATGAAATCTGATGGTTTTTATTTCAATTTCTTTTTTCATGTTGTTCTTTTTCATCTTTTATTATTTCCCATGTTTGTGTTTTTTCTTTATAACTTTTCATTTTACTACTCTAGAACATCATTCAGATTTCATGTTGCTGAGGTCACGGGTTGACCCCACAGTCAAAGGTCAAAGTTCAGATGGTTTAGCTCACTCATCTCTCTCATTCTCTGGGCTGGAATTTTATGTATTTGACTCTGAATAGAGAGCACCATCATGAGGACCTGAGCGCTCTCACGGGGCGTTGCATGTTATTGGGATGTTTGGTTTAGGTTGCTGAGCATGTTCTTTCAGTGTTTCCTGCCGTGGAGCAGGTCATTCCTCCATGTTCCTCGTGTCATATATAAAAGCAGGTGTAACGCTGCGACCCGACACTCGAATCTAATCTATGAAATCTTTTCACTTTTTTATTTGTGTTATTGATTATTGTCATATTGGCACAGCTGGGCTTCCACAGTAGTCCTCTTATCTCCACGTGCTGCAGCTGTTCAGGCTGGAGGTGTGCAGGAAGAAGGATGCCCATATAAGGAGAGGCGGGGCCATAAAAGGAAACGCGTTCTTTATATGGAGAAAGGTGTCCCGGTCGTACAGCCCAGAACTGCGTATCATTGCGCACAAGCTTCGGTAAGTTCGCACCTGTCCGCACCAGACCATAAAGACTCCCTACCCCGACACTTCCGGTGAGAGGTAAGGCGATTCCGAGCCGCGGGGTGGCTGCAGTGGCTGTGAAGTGCTGGACTACCTGTCAGAGCGGACGGATATCTGCGGAAGCTGCCCGTCATTTCCTTATGTGGAGCGGAGTGATCCGTGGGGGGCCGGGCCTCGCTGCTCTGTGAAAACAACTTCACAACTTTTTCTAATTTCTGATCGATCCGGATCGATTTCCTGCGGAAAGTGTGCCCGGCGGCTTCCCCTCACGGCCCGCGGGCTCCCGGAGCTTTCTAACTGACTCACCGGGCGACCTGTCGCTGAAGAGCCGTTGAGCGCTTAGCCT